ACGCTGGAGCAGGCTCCTGGCAGGACCTGAGACCCATGGGGGACCCAGTCTGTTTCTGAAGGGCTGTATACCAGGGACCCCACACTGGAGCTGAGGAATAGCATGAGGAGGAAGGAGCTGCAGAGATGACATGTTATGAACTGTCTGCAACACCCATGCCCCTGCGCTGCTCAGGGGAGTCAGGAGTGAGACTGAGCCTGGGAAGGGAGAGGTGTTTATAGGTTTGTTCTTATTTCTTATTGTCATACTCTGTTTAAATGCAATAAATTCATTTGCCAAGTTGAGTCTGTTTTGCCTGTCACTAATTGCTGAGCAATGTCCCTGTCCAGATATCCAGCCACAAGCTTTTCTGCCATTTTCTCCGCCTGTCCTTCTGATGAGGGGGTGCTATAAGAGGGGCTTGGCCCTCACCTAGCAGCCAGCAGATGGAAACCCACCCGTCCGCCTCTGCCACCCCACACCAAGGGTCAGGGACCAGCACTACAAGGGTTAGCCTAGCAGGGACTTCACAGCATACTCCTCCAGGCAATTCCTCAGGTGGCTGAAAGTTGCACCATTACAAGAGGAGCTGCTACACACAGTTGGCATTGCTAAAACAACAGAAGCTGGTTTTTGTCCTTGCTAGATCCAGTTATTTTTGATGAATGACGAGTAAGAATTTAAATATTTGAATAATTACAAGTACTCATATTGGAATAATTCAGGGAAGGAATCAAAGTCTAACTTCATTCAGGTCAAGGAAAGAATAAAAAGTAGACGGTTAACTGGAGTTGAACTTAGGGTGACTGCTGCAAGAGAAGATGTGGAAGACACACATGGGTCGTTATGAGAATCCTTCCCCAGGCACATGACAGCAGTTTCAGAACACACAGATGGAATTAAGGAGCATCACTGCTTCACTGCAACCTGACCACGTTCTCTTGCCCGCTCACCAGTGACCCCTGGGCCCTCCCTTGCATGATAGTTTGTCCTCTCATTATGCCCAGTCATTCCAGCCATGTGTTTCAACTGCTGTGCTGAAGGAAGTACTTCTCTTCCTGTTGGCCAGCCCACTGTAAGCAAGCAAGCGATGTAACCAGCCTGCAGACAGAAACATCTTGCTTTACTGGTTC